GAATACTAAAATTTATACCTCATTTTTTTTTATCTTTTTTTTTTATTTTATTTATTATTTTTTTTCGGTGGTTGGATTCACCGCAACCTGGAATAGAGATTCACCAAACGATTGGAGCTTAGATATAATGAGGTTATTTAGAGCACTACCTCAAGATTTTTTTTTTTTAATTTTGGCATCGTGCCTAATCATTTAACTACCTGTCTTCCCAGAAAGTGGAGGCAATCATGCTTTGATGATTTTGGCATCGTGCCTAATCATTTTAACTTCCCGTCTTCCCAGAAAGTGGAGGCAATCATGCTTTGATGATTTCGTCATCAAAAAAAATTATTTATGGCAATCAGTGGTGGCAAACCACCTACAATCAGAACGACAAGACGCATGAAATTCAAGCGTACAAAGCTCCGCTGCATTTTGAACTGTTCACCTTCATCCGTTTTCGTAGAGGCCCCCTTCGAACGAATTTACTGAATCAATCCTTATTCTAATAGCATGCTTAGGAAATTGGCTTGCCTGGTGATTCAGTTTAGGTTTTTATAAGAAAAATCGAAATGCTCTTGCTCCATCTAAAACAGGAAGATGAATATTTACTGATCTACTCTGTAATTGACAATTGGTGTTTATAGCAATCATGCTATCTTCATAAAAATCCTCGTCGCCAGGATTTTTTTTTCATTCAAACAGATGTAAAAGCCATTCTGGATTCATTGCTCTTTTTTTCAGTTGACCTGGTATTAAACTTATAAAAATGAGAAAGAATGATTCGATATGGCTTAGAGAAGTCGCTAAGAAAAAAACAAAAGAAAAGGAAGTTTGCCTTTTATAGAAATTGCGGGTGGGAGCAGGTGGTTCCAAAGAACTTCGAGATGAGTACAAATATGAATTCTTAAAGTTATTGCTTTTGAAAATTCTCTTCGCTCTGCAAAATTGGACGATATGAAAAAAATTACCAGTATGAATTCGATAGAAACTTAAAAGGTACTGGTTTTTTGGCTGGTTTTCAAATTAAGAGAATTCGTAATTTGCCTTACATCTATGTTTCTTGCTGTTAACAAGAGCTCAAGAGATCGCAACTCGGCTAAGCAATTGAAGATAAACAAACGGGTCGCTAAAAATAAAAATCAGGACAAGTCTGCGGCGAACTGGGTGGCATTGGTAACGAGTTTGTTTCTTTTGTGTTACGGAATATACGTGCGTTGTAGTTTAATAATTTTAACTGGTCATCCTTGTAACAATTTTCATTACAAAGTACCTCTACAAGTTATTAACTCTGGAACAAATCCTCTTTTCTCATTGGACGAGACTTCTTGGCAACACTTCTGCAGCGGTGAAGAAGGATGCGGAGGGCTTCTCGGTATATCGCAGGACTCGTCAAGCTTACACAAATGGATTAATTCCAATTTTGAGATGTATCAAAATAAGCATCATCAAACCCCATATAAATTCCTTTTCTGAAGCAAAACACAAAATTAGCACGAAAAGAAGCACGAAATTTAGACGCACAAAGCTACGCTATACATGGAAGTGTTTACCTCGCTCCGCTATTGTATTGATCTTTTTACGCGATAGTCCTCTGGCCATCTTTTTTCTTATAGCTCGATGCAACATAACGAAGATGCTGATATTGATGCCGACAAATACATAGCCTTGAATGACTGGGTAGTCGCGATGCAGAATATCATACCATTGAAAAAACCAAATAATCCCAGAGCAAAGATATATTGCTAGCACAATTGAAAGCGCTTTTTTTCTCGTTACCAGACGTCCGTACTTAAGAGGAGAAGAAACTACACTGAACTGAGTCAAGGTAAAGGCGAAAATAGTTGAATTCGACGTCGTTATATAAAATTCGGTGAACGTTTGAAGAGCGTTTAATAAAGTTGTCAATTTGATTGAATATGGATGTTGAAGGTAAAGGAACACATAAAGTGTGGCCAAAACTGTTTCTTGTACCAAAGCTGTTAGCAGATCGGCTATAGCCAAACCAAGCAGAAAATAGGAAGTTGGGTTGCGGAACATCCTCAATGAATCGATATGAAGAACAAGGAGGAGAAAGCTATTGGCCACAATAGTGATAAGCGAGGCTATGAACATGAAAACTGCCGCGCTAAAGGCCACTTTGTAGAAATCTTAGTCCATTGGATTAAGCGTAAAACCGGGATGGAAATTGTCGAGGGTCACATTTCCAAAGGAATCGTTGATATTCGAATTCTCTGCAAACACAATCTCCATAGAGGCATTTATGAGTTTGCTTGTCAAAGGATTGCTGTTAATGAATCGTTTTGTGGTGATGTTAGTTTTTTCACAACAAACATGATTAAGTGATTAACAGTTTTACTGATTGAACCCATATGAATAGCAGTTCTACAAAAAAAATGTGTAACCAGCACAAATTCTTGAATGAAAAGAAGAGTAATATTTTTCCATCTAACAAGGAGACTTTTCATGGTAATTACTTCAAAAATAAACTTTTCAAAGGCACTTCTTTCAAAGGCCTCTAACAGACTTTTCACCAGCAGGAAGTCCTTGCTGACCCTGTTGATGCCAGCTGGCTTCCAATCGAAGGATTTTGAAATGCTTTCCGAGGCATAATTTGAAGTGAGGATTGGTAACTGAGTTGCCTGTCCAAAATAAAACTATCATTTGTCGGAAAAAGTCAACGTGATGACAAATCGTTTAATTATGCGAACTAATTTAACTTTCCTTGCGCTTTTCAAATTGTCCAATACTTAACTAGTTTACCTTTTTTGGTGGGAGCTGTTTTCTCATGGCACAATTGTCAATTTAGATACTCGCGACTGGTTGCTTTCGGAAACCTTGTGCAGCTTTTCTAGGTTATGTTCACTCCATGATATGACATTTTGTGAAATATTTTCTAGGTATGAAAAAAAGTCCTGGAGTGTTATACTCAATTGGACACCGAATTATGTTGTTTGAAGCACTAAATCAAGGTAATGACTCTGTTAATTGCTTTGTGTTTATTCTTGACTTGCTTCGTTTAGGTGTTCAAAAACAAAAGTGACATTTGCGCAAGGTAATAGGCCTATGGTTGGGTCCTCTTTCTCGCTCCAATCTCATAGTACCCAGGTCTCTATATTTTGACACTTTCAGGAAGTTTGTTACGATCACGTAAAAAAACGGAAAGAAAAGCTATTCAATTCGGACAAACCATCGGGTCAGTCACCGATTGGTTCCCAGTTCTCATGTTTCCCTTACTCTGTAGAAGACAGCACCATGCAGTACTCTAACAGCACTCTAAGCCGGTCTTGCGATTAATCCACAGAGAGATCAAGTTACCGACTTAGTTATACTGATCTCCAGATTTTTCTAAAAATATAAATTTCTGTGTTTGTTTGTATTTTTCTTAAAATATATATTTCTGTGTTTGTTTTCTTAAACTGTGTGGTATTAGTTGAAACTTTGCGTGAGATTTTAAAATCAAAATTAATTAAAAGATTAATAGGCAATAGCAGAACTAAAAACACTGGTTAGTTTCCAGAATACTCCTCTAAATAGTTTGAATCACTCGTGTGAAAAAACCGACAATATTTCAAAATGAAGTATACCCTCTCTTGAACTTTTCCAAGTTTCATTTTCTCATGTTTAAAATCAAAACCAGACACCGTCCAACATCGGGGTTTTCGTCTCAACTTTCTTTAAAAAAATTTCTTTTATTTCAATGGAAAAGTCTATTTCTCAATACGTTTTCTTATCTTTCCTTCGGCGTTGCTTGTGAATGTTAAGCAGTTTTACCGAAGTGTGCATCCAAACAAATCTGTTGAAAATGCTTCACTTTCTATGAATTTTTAAAATGTTCGTTCTTATGAATGATTAAGCTAAATGCTTACGGCTAATACTGAAAAGGTAGAAAAGCAAGACGTGTGTGCTTGAGATTTCTCATTTCGTTGAGATAATATTCTAATGGATTGAATTGTGGTTGTAAAGTATCTATCAAGTAGTTTAAGGTAAAAATAAAAATTACATATCATTCTACAATTTTTATGACGAGTGGATAGCTGACATGATTTGAAGATTGTCCTCTCCTTTTTTACCATATCTTTATTCAAAAAATACTCTTATCTACCAATTGAGCTAAAAATTTCAATATATGCATATTTACTTGATTTTTTGACAAAATAGAAAAATAAATTGTTGTGGTAGCAGATTTTTCACTGCAAAGGGCTTGTTAGATTTGACAAGTTGGGAGGAAAAGTCTTTCTGCTAAATCTTGCACAAACCGTACCAATTTGTATATGGCAAATACCAGGACAGTTTCTGTTCAAGGAAATTTTCAGATTTTTGCAGCACAAATACATATCATTTTACTGTAACGAATTCAGAAATTCATTTTGAGAAAGAAACCATGGACTTATGTATCACACTGGCAAATTCAAAATTTCTTCAATATCTCTAGTAGAGAAGAAAAGCCAGAAAAAAAAATACAATACACTTTCTTATTTCAATTATCGACTGTATTTATGCACCTTTAGAGACTCTACGGGAGCACTCGGTTCAATTACGAAAATTTCTTCAAGTTCTGAACGGGAAAACAATTCGCAGCCCTTCGATGCCTCTCTCTTTGAATCAAACCGGCATGCAATAATAAAACACGCTCTTGCTTCCATGTAAAAACCTCAGAATGTATACCTTAATTGCAGTGAGTTTCATTTAGTTCAAACATACAGCTGCGCAACGTGATAAAAGTTTGTCGAATTCGTGTGTGTGCTTTACACTTCTAGCTACTAGTGTAATTATTTCATAGCGGGAACTACATCTACATGTGAATTCTTTGGGGAAATCAATGAAGTATTCTTACGGTGGCTTTCCCACTGTCACAAACATTAACCAATTACCCTCCTTATAAGCACAACAATAATAACCTAGAAAAAAGTTGATAGATTTGTCGATCACTTTAGTAACGGGCGAAATCAGTTAGACTTTCGTTCCGCTTGTTGTCAAGGTCAGTTGTGACACACCTTAAAATTGAACCAGCACCGAAAATGGACTCTAAATCTCCGACGAAATGCAGTACTTCGATGAATTTCACCGGTAATTTATCACTTTGCCCAACTGTCCAACCTGTACTGTTAGGACCCATGGTAAATCCATTTGACGAGTTTTACAAGTTTGCCTTCGGATCAGCAATTTACATTATCATCGTTTCCTTCATAACCATCTTAGCCAACGGTTTGTTACTTGTGGTTTTCTTCTTCGATCCATTGAAGATATTTCGCACTGCCACTACCTATTTCTTGATCGGTCTGGCCTTAGTGGATATCTTAACCGCCGCCTCGCAAGAACCCATGTACGCTACATGCTTTATAATGATGTATCTTAGACATCCTGACACCCTAACAACGTGCACACCTCTTCTGAATGTGGGCCAAGTGATAGCTGTTGCAGCCATGAATGCATCATTTCTGATAGTACTTGCTTTCACAATTACACAGTACATTGTGGTGGTCTCGCCGCTAAAATACGGCCGGCGCGTTACAAAATCGCGGGTGGTGATCTGTGTATTGGCCATATACGCGTATTCCATATTGTTCAGTCTCTTTCCTGTTATGGGCATCGCCGAAGAGATCGTGCAAAAGATCGATAACATTTTTCACTCCATTACTTTGGTCTACGTCACCATTATCTTTTACATTCTGCTGTACGTCGCCTTTAGGAAGAAAATGGCTGCTTCTGAAAGTCTTCGAGAAGACAAGACCACACAAGCTAGAGGGAGAGAAAATAAACAAACAGGGGTGGAACGCAAGTTTATCATCGTCAATTTTCTCCTAATCGCCATCTTGTTTTTGACGTCTCAGCCGTCTGCCATTTTATGGATTTACCGCTTGTATTCCAACGAAAACCCCAACTCTCCAAGAGTTCTGATTGTCAATCTCATGGTGGCCGACAACCTACTTTACCTGAAATTCCTGCTCGACCCGTTTGTCTACGCATGGCGAATACCCAAATATCGACAGGCCCTAAAAAATGTCCTGCGCTGTGGCAGAGAGGAGCCTGAAACAACCTTTAGTGACCGCGTCATGGCCCAGGTTAGCAAGTCACGCGAGACTGTAGTGACCCTGGACTTTAAAAGCATTCGGGACTAAAACATTGATACTAGTTCGAGGTTGCCCATAGTTCTCTGCAAAATCTTAAGCCTCGCAAGCTTCTTATCCAATCTCGAGATCTTGATAACCTTTCTATAGTTTCGATCTCGATTTTATTTCAATTTCTTAGAGTCTAGTTCCAGAGGTTAGAGTAGCATTAACGTAATTTCGTGAGCAAGGAAATTAACTTTTAAATCACCTTCGTTTGAAATATTGTAGAACAGAAGCTGATAAATGGCAAAAATGAACGCAAATAGGAAAACCGCAAACATAATGCACGATTTCTTTAATTTGTCATAAATAGCATATTGCAATAATCCTATAGAAGCGTAACAAGGGGTTGTGTTGATAAAATTATTCAGTCTCCGCCTGTGGTTTAAACAAGGACTTTGCTTCTCACGAGGGCAATCAGATGTGTCACATCATTCTTAGGAGGAGTATGGAAGATCACCAAATAGCGTCATGAAAGTTTTATCGCTCGTACCGCTGTATAACTGTGCCGATATATCACCATTTAAGTCAAGGCTTTATTGGCGTTATTTAACTTGATTATCTGCGCCTCTGGAAATGTTTAGCTACTCCGAAAAATTGAATTGGTTTGTCAATGTAGACAAACCGACAGTTTTTTACTTAATTATCCCAGGCCCTAGGTAGCCCAAAGTAGACGAAAAACCGACAAATTCAGTCGCTTTGTCGGCAACGACAAAACGATTTTTCTTCGCTTAATTTCGACAGGCGTATTTAAGGCTCAACACAGTATACTTTCACAGACAAAGTGACTACGGAAAAATTATCTTAGCACCGACAAACGGACTACAAATACTTTTAATCAAACGTTCTGTCGGGTGCATAGCAAGCCTGAAGAATTTAATTTCAGTTATTCACTTGAAATGAATAATAGCGCCTAACTCTTTTGGAAACTGAACAAATTGTTTTCCATATTTTTTTCTGTTATGTTTTAAAGGTTTAAGTACAATTTTTCGTTTGCAAGATGTTTTTAATTTAAGTCTTCCCTCATACAATGCATTGGTAAAGATGGGGGCGGCAGTATTTTCTCTATACTGCAATAGTTATGAAATTGTTTCTTCTCTTTTAGCGTGACAAACGTTGGGTCAGATTTACCCTTTGATACCTTTTCATTAAGCTTCTAGTTCACTGTAAATACATCCTTTTTTATATAGCTGAGAGCAAACATTCCTTGAAGTCCAATTTTCGCATCCTTCTAAGGTCTACTGTTTGAAAGAGAACTTCGATTATTTGGCATATGTCACTACTGCGAAATATCCAGATGGAAAATGAAATTCCCTGCTATGCTGAATAATCTGTTCTTCTTTGATCCCAACACGCGTGGGCCTCTACTGGAATAATTGAACCTTTTCCAAAAGGCGCAAACTCGGTGCAATTTTAAAACTAGAAGGCTTATCACACACCTAAGTTCTTAATAATGGCGAAACAGCGTCTCACGTCCATGGTAAACAAATTATAAAATTAATTTTTATAAGGCACAAGGTTAATAAACGAATAGCAAAAGTGTTTTCACGCTGATAGGAAGGGAAAGTTTACCTTAGTTAATTAATAGAAGTTCTATTGTAAAAGTAGAAATTCTCCCTCTGCATTGAACCACAAACTGAAGAGCTTGACCCTAACCACTAATTTTCTTTCGTGCCCTGATCATCATTTTCAAGATGAACTTCACTTGTGGAAATAATACGTTGCTCAACATAGGCGTTGATTATTTCAAAGAGCTACAACAGAGCCAAAAACCTTCAAATTCTTCAGTTTGCACCGGGGCAGCTGGCCTTGACTCACAGGAAGGGATGATGCATGTTGAGGAGTTTTCAAAGGCAGCTTTCGGCTCTTCCATCTTTATCATCATAGTTTCGCCCATGACAATCGTGGCCAACAGTTTGCTTCTTGTAACTTTTCTCGTCGATCCACTCAAGATTTTCCGCAACCCAACCAGCTACTTTCTCATCGGTTTGGCCATCGTGGATCTCCTAACGGCACTGATACAAGAACCTATCTATGCCACCTGTTTCATGTTGATGTATTTCCAGCATCCTTCGTGGACGAAATGTGAATCTTGGATGGAATTTGCATTCTATTTTTCAGCATTTCCAGTCTCAATATCGGCATCTATCGTTTTTGCCTTTACATTGACGCAGTACATCGTAGTTACATCGCCTCTGAAGCTCGGCCGCATGATTACAAAGAAGAAAGCCTTACTTAGCGTTTTTGCTATATACCTCTATCATACGCTTTTCTGTTGTTTACCACTGATGGGTATTCCACAGAAGACCAAACACGCCATTGACTTATTCTTTCACAGGTACGCTGTTGTTCTCGTCACCATCGTGGTATACATTATTCTGCATTACACCATGAAAAAGAAAATGACCGCAGGGCGCTCACTCCAAAACGAAGGCTCATCCACTTCTCGCGAGGAGGGAAGACACGCTCAGGTGCAGCGAAGCTTTGTCCGTATAAATGTCGTTCTTCTCATTATTATGATCATGTTTTTCGTGCCTTCAGTTCTACTGATGACAATCAGATTTTTTCTGGACGACATATTTACTGCTCGGTATGGGATACGGGTTCTCGTTGTAAATTTGATGACCGACAACGTGCTTTACCTAAAATTTCTGTTTGATCCGATTGTGTACGCGTGGCGCATGTCCAAGTACAGGAAGTCTCTGAAAAGCACTGTTTATCGTAATAAAGATAAACAGTCCAGCAGAAGCGAAGGCGAGACTAAGATCACAGATGCAAGAGGTCAGATAGGTGAGCTAACAAGTGCTGAACTGAACAAGTCAGCGATAACTTTACTCAGCTTCAAAAATGTCAGCACAGATTAAGGGTAGACCCTCTCCCATTTTGGTACACACGAGCGGTCATAACTGATGAAGCAGACGTCTCCTATGGATAGAGTTGAAACCATCACAACTGAGAAATTCACCGTGAATCGAACTCAGTGTTCTATTATCACGATAAAACTCATTAAAAAGGTACAACAAACTGGACTTCATTAAAACTTGGAATCGACAATATAACTCTTCGCCAGACTCTGAAGACTTTAGTGGAACAACGTTCATTGAGAGCGTGGTTGAGAAATCAAGCAGTTTGAGAACATGGTAATGACCACTAGTGAGAGTTTATGGAATAAAGAAAGGTCTCTGTTGAGCAGCCAAAGTCCGACTTTGACAATGAATAATATCCTCCCAACTTTAATTGCTTACAAACTCACATTTAACCTTGCTTAAATTGACGACACTGGAAGACAAAGGAACTCAAATTGAACTCAAACATTTCTATTTTCTAAGACTAAATGATTTGATTCTTAGACCTGTGCTGCGTTTTTGCCTTTGTTTGGATTAACACATGTTGGGTTCGCATCAATTTGCCTTTGCTCTCCAAAATTAAGCTTCTGGTTTTTCGCTTACTAAAGAAACATTTTGGCGATGTTATGATTGAAGTTTTACTGAACGTTAGCAACTATTTACTTGACTGCAACATTTCACAATATAATGTTGCAAAAAGTATTAAAATAACTTAATATACATATAAA